ATCACAGTTAAAAAGTTGAGACGTTAAACAAATTTATACTGCGAATTAGCGAGCGAGTTGGGAGGTCCGTCCAGACGTCAAAGTTTTGAGTAACCCTCCCTCCCTTTAGCCCCTTTCCTAGTTTCTCAAGTAACTTTCTTAGAGTTTCCTCTGTTTCTGCTGAGTTTGTTTTGAACTTTGTTAGCGCGACGACATGTTTATCGACATTCTGAAGCGGAGTGCTATTTTTGTGTTTATAACTTTGGAATGTTACCTTTCAAGATCACAATCAAGACACAAAGATAAGGAATTGAAAACTTTTACTTGCTTATAAAGTACACTTAATAAGTAAGTAAAAGTCATAGTTTAAAATAAAGTTATATATGGTATATTAAACTTTAAGGCGTCGGTTGCTTACGGATTGGTTTTTTACAAAAAAATAGTAGCCTCTTAATTTTTTGTTGTTTATAATTAATTAGTTTTTTCATATACTCCGTAAACTTTTAATTCGTTTTTGCCCGTAAAGTGTTTTGTTCCGTTCTTTGTAAAGGTTTACGAGTATCATTAGCAGCGGTTTGGTTAGGTATTTGAAAATAAATTAAGTTTACGAATATAAAATAGAAACAGGTAATTTTATTATTATATTTATTATATTTTAGTATAATATATTATTTTAATAGTTATATTTGCTTTGTTTGCAATGACTTATCAGGGTAGACTGCATTCCACATGCCGATGCAGTGTACATTGCAAAAAAATGCAGCTGATTGCAAAGTTAAGATGGTAAATAATAAAAATAATACAAGATCATCATCAGTTGTATACTTTCAATTTATAATCTACTTAAAATGATATAACGTATTACCAAAAAAAAAACAGAACAGCGTAAGAGAATTCCCTACCCCATATCACGTAAGAAGTGACAGCAGAAAACTGAAAGAGGAGATGGGCCGCAGCATTTCCCTGATATCAACTCAATTATTACAAAAAACTTGCGGTGGACTGGTGCGGATGTTTTTCAGCAGTGGAATTTTGATAAACTGTGATGAATAAATGAAAAATATAACTTACTCAAAGTAGCTGTCAAATGGAAGAAGTTTCATTAAAATAATGTAGGAAAGGAATATGAAACGGTGAAACAAATGGAATGTTACGTTGATGATAGGAACAGTATAAACGAGCGAAGATAACAGAGAATGAAGCAAAAACAACTATGGACAAACAATACATAGTGTATAATTTACCTTTTGGTATAAAATAGTACTTTCTGTATGCTCTATGTTCTCTATTCTCTATGTATTAGAGAGAACGGAGGTAAAGACTTCATTATCATCATCATTATTACAGCCCTTCAAGTCCACTGCTGAACATAGGTCTCCCCCAAGGAATGCCACAAAGCACGGTTACGAGCCAACTGCATCCATCGACTTACTGCATGTCTTACCAGGTCTTCACTCCCTCTAGTGGGGTGACGACCTACAGTTCGCCTGCCGGTACGAAGCTTCCATTAGAACAAAGAAGTACCATTAAGACAAGTGTTAGTGAGCCAATTATTTATAACACTGCATATTAAGTTTAGTAGTACTAATGTATGCACTAAGTTTGCAATTTCAATATAATTTTCTTTATGGGTCTACTGGAAGATATTTCAGCTAATTTGGAATAAGTAGAACCTTTGTACGAAATTACTATAAGACTGCTTCTGTATCTTAATTTGTGTACATAAAATAAATAAATAAAAAAAATTAAAAATATAAGTTTATTGGAAGACCCAAGTTTTTTCCAATTCTCATAATAATGTTTTTTTTTTCTAAGTAACATCTCCCACATATAAATATGTCAACGCGGTGACACAGTGAATTAATTATGTTATAACACAGCATGTTCGCCTAATTATGGTCGCATAAGTGGCTGGAGCACGTAACGGAAACATAATATTCGACTTGTTAGCTTTGATAGCTTTAATAAGCACTTATAAAAACGGACCGATTCAGTTTACTTGGCTTATCTTTAGACTATTGAACTTCTCCTTGGATGAGAATATTATTAAACAGCTGTTGTATTATTTCATCATAAATGAGCACAAATTTAAATGATAAGGTAGTATTTAACGTTTTCCGACATGCCTTGTATAAAAAATACTCAGTAGACGAAAGCAATATATACCAGACGTTGCTTATTTACGCGAGGGCGTGAGAAAGTTTTAATAGCGATTCATCGGATCTAGTTTGGTCTCCGATACCAAAGAATGTTTAGTTGTTGATAGAATTTTTTTTACTATTTATTTTTGGATGGACCTATTTCAATCTTAAAAGTTATACAAGGTTTAAATTACTTTTGCGGATTTTATCGCGTTTAATTTTACTTTTGATTATTTTTATTTTTTAATTCCCGACGTTTCGGGCGCTTTCCAGCACCCATGGTCACGGGGAACTGAGGTGACTGACGTCCCGATGTCATTATTAAACTCGGAGTACCTTCAGCTTTTTTAATTATTGTTCATGGTCCGATCTATGTAGAATGAACTAACTATGCCCTGAGGTCTTGCAGTGGTATTCTTTTGTTTAGTTTTAATTTTATTGATTATAGGGTCCCAAGCAGGTGGTAGTACGCAGCCTCCTTCTCTATTGAAATTAGGATGTTTTTTAATTTCAATAGCCTCACGTATCATCCTTGGTAGGAATCGGTGTTCTTTCGCGAGGATTTGTGGTCTATCAAATCTGATGTAATGGTTGGGGCCATCTAGGATATGATCACAAACTGCAGACTTCCCGGAACGTTGATGCTTCACATCAGCTATATGTTCTTTTACGCGGGTTCTATTTGATCTTTTTGTTTGTCCTATATAAGAGAGACCACATTCACAATCGAGCTTGTACACTCCTGCATCTTGTAGAGGAATAAGACACTTGACGGATGGTAGGAACTGATTAATCTTCGGCGGCTTGTTGAATGTTCTGTTAGAAGCTCGCTTCAAGATGTAGCCAATCTTGTCTGTGACACCTCTGACATATGGTAGTACAGCAGGCACACGCTCGACTGTGGCCGGCTTCACTCGGTCACTGTGACGGTGTGACGTAGGCGCGGGACCCGAAGCTTGTTGTCGTGCCGAACTTACTTGACGTGCTGAAGCTCGGCGGCCAGGTGTTTGCTGTCACAGATCCCTCGTGCTCTTTGTAACAAATATTTGCCCACGGTAGCTAACTGTGAAGGATGATGGTGAGATTCACCATTTAAATATCGGTTTGTATGGGTCTTTTTTCTATACATAGTGTGACCTATGGTGTTAGGATTTCGGATGACTAACACATCTAGGAAAGCTAAGGAATTATTTGCCTCTAACACCATTGTAAATTGAATTTTAGAGTTTAGGGAATTAAGATGTTCTAAAAATGTAGTTACTTTGTCTGATGGTAAAATTGTTAAAATATCGTCTACGTACCGCTTGTAGATCCTTGGTGTAACAGGTGCAGCAAGGAGGGATTTCTCCTCAAAGTCTTCCATGAATATATCGGTGACAATGGGAGATACAGGTGAGCCCATCGCAACACCATCTACTTGCTTGTAAAACTCTTCCTTCCACAATAGATTTTAGACAATTTCCCGAAACGTCGGGAATTAAAAATCAAAAATAAAATAATTAAAAGTAAAATTAAACGCGATAGAATCCGTAAAAGTAGTTTTAATCAATGTGTAGTGTTAGCGTAAATATAAAAATCATTATAGTTAAACAAGGTATTTAATTTAAGGTATAGTATATTTTAAGCCGTAATATCTCAGGGGCTGCCGGGCTTAAAATTTCATAGTAGACTGTGGGAACCCAAGTTCGATCTGATTTTACCTATCGAAATTTTGAGTGTTATATGTATGTGTTATATATACTTATTACATACTTATTTTATAAGAAAGTCTTTTAGAGCGACTTGCATGCATGAGACATTTAAAATATTTCGAAGACATGAACTCCGTCAAATAACATTAGAGTCAAACCTTGGACTCTCTTGCTGAATATCTACGGTCAAGGTTTTCTTTAAAAAGTCAAAATTCTGTGCCCTGCAGAGATGTGTGGAGAAGGGAATGACTAAAATTAATTGAATTTGAATGTAGGCCATACTTTTTTTTCCTATTTGAAAGTTATGAAAACCCATTTATTTTTAAAGAATAAGGCTGACATACGACCATACAGTCCACCTGGTGATAAGTGAATGCTGTGGCCTATAAATATTTACATCTATTCTCGATTAAGAATCAAAATGCATATGCATTGTCATCCCTGAGGACTAAGATCAAATGTCTCGTTTCCAGTAAAGGTTCTCCGGTTCTTTACATTGACCATACGAAACACAGCAGTACTAAGCTGCTATTTTACGCAGATATTACGTGAGAGCGTGGTTCTTTCCCGGTCGGGCCAACACATTCGAGCTGCAACCATATAGCTGCAGCAAGGCTCTACCACGTAAAATCAAAATTAAATATTGATACATTTTTTTTATAAGATAGGGTGACAAACGAGCACACAGTCCACCTGATGGTAAGTGGTTGCTGTGGCCCATAGACATCCATATCTATCCTCGATTACGAATCAAAATGCAGATGCGTTGTCACCCGTGATGACTAAGATGGATGGCCTCGTTTCCAGTAAAAAGGGGCTCCGATTCTCTACACTCACCATACGAAACACAGCAGCATTAAGCTACTATTTGACGCTGGTATTCATTATATACATTATACATACCTATTTAGAATCTAAAGCGCCCCAAGTTTTTCTGGTAGCAGCATCTCTTAAAATGATGCTAGTACATGCTCGCCTGTCACAGGTATCATGGTAAAGAGATGACGTGTCGCAGAAAAAGAAATTCCATACTTAATAATACTTAATAAGAATAAAATCGGAATATTCTTCTAATTATTCACCTACAACTCTTTCAGTAATGCGACGCCCAGCCGTGGGATGTTATATCTGCGGCTGTAACTTTTTTTTATTCGGTTATAATACTACTAACATACATTTTATTTCACAGGAGCTCACAGTAACTGATGATACGGTATTGGAGGAGCACAGTGAAGACCCAGCCCTGGTGCACATGAGGCTTCTTGGCGATGGAGGTATTTGAACCGTACTTATTAAATTGTTGAGGGGAAATCTGAAGATGATCTCGTAATATCCAATAGATTCTGCTTTGTATATAAAATGACCTGGTTATTCGTACAAAAAGGTCTCTAAGATTTTATGTTACTCGTATAGCTAGGCATGTTGTAAGGCTTCTATATGTAAAATGGCGAATAATCGTCCAAATAAACATCACTCACATTCATTCACAAGCTCTAAGTCTACTAGTATAGATATACGTTTTTCTAAGAATCCGCCAAAACGCATATTTTTTGTTTGGAACACAATACACTGGGTTGACGGGGTAGGTAACCTCAAAGCTGATTCCCATGTTTTGGATATGCTACGTTGCTCGTGTTGGAGGATGATTGCCATAGTTGCCACGCTTGGCGAGTGGTTTCACAACTGCAGTTTTTTATTACCCAAATGCTATTATCAGGAAGATGCTGCTGACCATCTCCAGCTTATTTTCCTCTGTTGTCAAGAGGCAAGAGGAACGACAGCCATGGGAAGATATGGGGTAGCGGATATCCTTAACCGCCACTACACGACTAGTTGTTGACAAGTTCGAAATTGTTGACGAGCTCCAAGTTATTGACCAGTTCGAAATTGTTGACGAGTGTGCTTACCTGAGACAAATAGTCCGACTAGGTAAGTCCAACTTCGATCGAAAGGTCAATTGACGGATTCAACTCGGCTGGGCAGCGATTTTTGTGAAGTAAATTATTTACATTAAAAAAATTTAACATTTAATCAAGAATAGTTTTTTCAAAAATTTTACTAATTGTTGGCAGTATAGAAATAGCTCTAAAATTAGCGGGGTCCAATGTACTGCCAGATTTAAATAAAGGTCTTACTTTACTATGCTTCATTAAATCAGGAAACACACCAGATTTGATACTAGTATTAAAAATAATAGATAGTTGAGGTGCGATTGCATCTATTATAGACGCAATAACTTTAACGGAAATCCCGCACAGATCGGCGGTTTTCTTAATATCAATAGTCTTAAAATATTTTAGAATATCTTTATCTTTACGGATTTATATAGAAATTAATTATTATTTATTAATAATAATAATGCGGCCGTCACAAGACCACCTAATGGGGGCTGCCCTACCATTCGCCTACCGGTACGTGGCTGACGCTCGCGAACCTCCTTTACCTTCCTTACCAAGCATTCTAATCAATTCTCCCGATCTTTATGCATCAGTTTAATCTTGCTGCAATCTAAAACTAAAGTTCGAGAGAATGAGACAAAAGCAGATTATCAGGAGTACGAGAATTGTTGGGTTTGTTTATTACATTATTGTTACTAAATTTAAAATTATTTTACATTTTATTATACTTATACCTATTAGATTACATATTAATCAGACACCAAGTTTCAAATTCCTGCAAATTACACGAGTGGCTCATGGTATCTAAAATATGAATATTATTTTATTATTGATTTATTTATGATAATTTTATACCACATGTGCGGCGTAAAATTTCGGATAAAAAATTAATTTTATAGCAAATAAATATATAACAAACAAATAAATGTTACAATCCTTATTGTTAAACATGTAGAGCATAAATTTTAGTATATTAAATCAAAATAATATTTTCTTCCGAGTAAAATTACTTTATAAGAGCGTCATCTACTTTATTCTTTAGGTAAAGTTTTATCGAATAAAAATTGATTGACGCTCAAGGTGCATACGTAAAATAGACGCTAGATGACCTAAAGTTATGAATCTACGACAAAATCTACGACAGATTGTTATGAATGGATTGGATATGTTAATTTTATTCAATTTGGTTAATTATATTTATTAAATAAATTTATTATTTTTTATGCTGTTTATTTAAACCGTTAAAATTTATATTAACCATGGTTCGGGAAATCACGACACATCTTCTCGTCAGGTATATATATATATATATATATATATATATATATATATATATATATATATATATATATATATACCTTGGAAACCTGTTCCTTGTGAAGGACTGTAACGGTGTATATGCTACTCGATAATCGATATCATATCACCGTTCTATGAAATTAATTTTCTACCATCATCCGGTCGCCAGAAATTCCTTCAATAAAGTCTACCACTTCCTGGTGTGTTAAGAATTTTCAATTTTTTTTTCATACCTTTGACACCATCATAGTAACAGAAACGAGATTGTCTTATTTTTCATATATATTAGTGCAATAAAGATTTTTTCCTTCAAGAAAATCATATCTGTTTCTTACTCTGTGTTATATATAGCCGTTTTTCTTTTTAGCCTTTATCTCTATGGAGTTATCAATAAACACATTAATTTCGCCCGTGTACACATTCCAATCAAAATTATTATTTATAGAGTGCATTGTCATGTCCATTTAAATGTATTGATTAAAAATCACGTACATATCTTTTATCAATTATAACGTTCAGTACCAAATTTGTAAATAAATCCGTTGATGGTTTTATTGTGTATTATTTAATAGGTAATACGTTAATGTATGTAACGATATATAATAATAAATACATGTTAAGAGTGCATTACTTACTTAAACGTAAGAAATTGTTTACATTTATGTTGTGTCTTTCCGACCGTGGAATGACCTCTTACAGAATATCAGCATAAAATAGAAACATAATTCTGCAAAACTCCTGTGTTTCGTATGATAATAGAAGAGAACCGGACACTCTTTATACTGGTAACGAGGCATCCATTCTTAATTCTCAAGGGTGACAACGTTTCTGCATTCTGGTTTTTAATCAAAATATATGAAAGTACGTTTGGGTCAAAGCTTAGTTTTTAACAAATTAGTTCTTAACGCACCCCGCGTTTAAAAAAATTGTATAAGTAGTTTTGAAATTTTTGTCTTTATGGCCTTCACTATTAACTAATTTGAGATTCGAAAAAATAGGACGCATTTATGTTACTCATTGATAAGTTCCGAAAAAGTATTGATCAACCTAGTAATTGCGATTATTTTAATAGAAATAAATTAGTTTATAATATTATACGACATTTTTATTATCTTAATATATATATATATAAATTACGTGTCACGTTGTTTGTCCGCGATGGACTCCTAAACTACTTAACCAATTTTATTCGAATTTGCACACCGCGTACAGTTTGGTTCAACTTGAGAGAAAGGATAGTTTTTCTTTGCCCATGCCACAACTTTTTTTGCTAATTTAAGAATTTTATTTCCTTTTAATTTAGTTTTTTAGAAATCATCATCGTAAGGAAACTAAAGTTCCTAGAAATTTAGTTTCTTTACGATGTTTTCTTTTACCGCCGAGCACGTAGTTAGTCAGCACTTAAAACTGCAATTAATAATTTAATGGGTGCCAGCGTTGTTCGAACCCGGGTTGCTCGCGTAAGTGCTGTGAAAATTTACAGCGCGCGCTTAGTCCCCGAGCTACCTCGGCAATTTTTGTGTTATTCAGTATTCACAAATATTGTAGAAACATAAATAGATAAAATCATATATTGAACATATATAAAATAGTTATGAAGAAGTTAATTAAATTCACTTAGTATCGTATATACAACATAATAAAATATGTAAAATAAATCTAACCAGACGAGAGCATTTGGCGGATGAGACGAGACGAGGTCGAGGGTTATGTCGAAATGGAAAGAAAGAATTTTATTATTATTTATTTATATTCTGTATACTTTTATAATGTTCTATTGTTTAATTTAATAAACGCTTTGTTTATTAAATTAAACAATAGAACATTATACGTTTACAATCTTTAAGATACAGCTTTGTGTAATTAACTGCAGGCTGAATTTCTATTACGTACAATTGTAGATCACTGCCCACTTGGAATTTTACGAGTATAAACAGAATCAAAACTTTAAAACTAGCTGCAAAGGAACTCTTTTATTTAGTTTATTCGTTTCTTTTATTTTAATTTATTATTTCGCAGATCTTATGCTTAAATATAATTAATAATAGTGCTGGTAATTGCTTACAGGTGTGCTGATAAAACAATTTGAACGCTGTAAATTATTTATACGACTTTAAAAATACGGGTACTATTAACTCGATTGCTTGTTTTTTCAAAGTATATGTAACATCCTATATTTGACATTAGTCAACCGACATCGCTAATTTTGTTATCGAAAGAACGTACTTTGCATTTTGTGGTCTCATATAAATTTCAATTATCTTATTATATCTATATCTGCTACTAATGGAAGTTGCAATTTGTTTTGATTGAGACATATATTTGATATTTTTAAGCAATATATTTTTGCTCATAAATTATATTGGTTATTTTATTGTAGTTCTAGACGAAGTCAATAAGTTTACGCCAGTAAGAACTTATTATCGATTTCTGGCCGTACTCTGACCGTCTTTTTTTTATAGAAGAGGGGGCAAACATATATGCGGCTCACCTGATGGTGACTACCGCCGCCCATAATCAACCGCAACACCAGGGGAATTGCAGGTGCGTTGCCGGCCCTTTAGAAATGAGTAAACTCTTTTCTTGAAGGTCCCCAGGTCGTATCAGTCCGGCAAAATCGCCGGTGGTAAACTATTCCACAGAGAGGTTGTACGCGGAAGAAAACTCCTTTTAAAACGTACAGTGGTGGACCGCCAAGGATCCAGATGGTGTGGATGGTATCGGGACGTTTGCCGCGTAGTGCGTTCACGAAATTTGGCGACTGGTATTACACATTCCTCAAGCCTTTATGGTATATGCGAAAGAAAACGCAAAGAGATGCAACATCTCTTCGCAGTGCCAGTGAATCGAGCCGATCGGAAAGCACTCGGTCGTCGACGAGAGTCGGTCGAGCCGCTCTGCGCTGGATGCGGTCAAGTGGAAGGAGCTGGTACTGGGGAGCCCCAGCTCATGGGGGGGATGGGAACAGTAATTCATGTGCGGCCGAACCTGCTTCTTGTAAAGTTGCAGGCGGTGTGCCGGCATGAAATACTGTCCCGCTCTGCTGAGCACGCCAAGCTTTTTAGAGGCTAATTTGGCTTTCTCTTCCAAGTGACCACGAAACTGCAAGTCACTCAATATGTCGACGCCGAGGATTCCGATACTGGCTGAGGCAACAAGGGGAGTGCCTTAAAACTGAGGAGATACGACAAAGGGGTTCTTTAATTTGTCGAAGACACAAGTTTGCCGTTAACCGCTAAAGCGGTTAACGTGCAAACTTGTGTCTTCTGGGGGTTAAACTGGACTAGATTTAGTCGCCCCCAATCTGAGACTCTATTTAGCAAAGACTCGACTTCAGACACAAGTTTGTCCCGGCATTCGGAGACGTTTTCCCGAGAAATATTGGCTCGGCCGGTGTAAAGAGCATCACCAGTGCTGTCATCTGCTTAGCAATGAATGTTACGGGTTTGCAACATGTCATTGATATACAGAAGAAATAGCACGCGATAGCACGCAGCCCTGTGGAACACCAGCATTAATAGGCTTGCAAACGGAGCTTGCACCGTCTACAACGACCTTGATGCTTCGATCTGAAAGAAAGCTGGTGATCCAATCGCACAATTTATCGGGAAGCCCATAGGAAGGGAGCTTCGAAAGAAGCGCTTTGTGCCAAACCCGATCGAAGGCCTTCGCAATGTCCAAACTAACAGCCAATGCCTCTCCCTTGGACTCTACTGCCTTCGCCCATCTGTGAGTTAAGTAGACCAGAAGATCACCGGCTGACCGACCACGGCGAAAACCGTATTGGCGGTCACTAATCAGCTGGTGATCCTCAAGGTACCTCATGAGCTGGCAGTCTACAATGGACTCCATTGTTTTGGAGAACAAGGAGGTGATGGCGATAGGCCGGTAGTTGGGCGGGTCTGAGCGGTCGCCTTTTTTTAGGGATCGGGTAGACGAAAGCCGTCTTCCATGATTTTGGGACTACACGTAGGGAGTAGGAGTACCGGAAAAGACGGGTTAAAACCTGTGCCAACTCTGGAGCACACGACCTCAGCACAAATGGGGGGATTCCGTCAGGCCCACTCGACTTATCGGAGGGTAGTGCTTTGCGAACCGAGCGCTGTGTGAACTGCACTTCGGGCATGGAGCACTCACACCGCGGGATGGTCGGCGGCGTACTCCTTCTCCTTTCTTTTGGGATATATGTGAGACATCTACATATATCCTCAATTACAAATCAAAATGCAGATGCGTTGTCACCCGTAAGGACTAAGATGGAATGCCTCGTTTCCAGTAAAAAGGGTCTCCGGTTCTCTACACTCACCATACGAAATACAGCAGCATTATGCTATTATTTCACGCTGGTATTCTGTGAGAGCGTGGTCCTTCCGGTCGATGCCGACCCATTCGTGCTACAACTATACTACTAATATAACTGCAGCATGGCTTTACCACGTACAAAATACATACTTCCTGGGATCTCAAAACGTCGAGATCTGATGAAAACTCGATTTTAGAAAATCGGGGTGAAACCAACAACTTCCCTATTTATGAAAATTTTTAATTTTCTTAGCGCGAAGTTAAAAATCTTTTTTTCTTCTTCTAATAAGACCTCAATACATGTGTGATGGGCCTCTTCCACAGTAAATAATTAGGATTTCCCGCAAAACGTGTCAGTCAATTGGTAAGCTGATTGACGATCGGGGACCAGACGTCCCAACATAATGTCGAAGTGCGATTTAGACATTTTACATCGTGTCTAACATAAACATAAACAATAGTATATAGAATGTATTTACTATTCATCAATCTATTAATGAATGTTTTGCGAAATGTTACTGATTAAACAGAAAGCTACGTTAGATTTCTTTGTATTATCTTGTCCCGTGTCATAAATGAATGAAAACTGACACCGGAAAATAGATCCAATTATTTGCGTTCAAAGAACTTCTCAAATTACTTTGCACGAGTTCTCATTTTTTATGACTATTAGTAATTTTGATAATAATAATTTTAATAATAATTTTTGGTACCGACTTTGTTATATGGCAGCGAAACCTGGGTATGCCAGAAGAAGCATAAAAGCAAGTTGAATGCAGTGGAGATGCGATCTCTTCGTAAAATGTGTGGCGTTACCATAGCCGATCGAAAGCGAAACGAAGAGATTCGCAATATGGCAGGATTGAAAGATGACCTTATCACAAAAATTGATAGGGGCGTACTCCAATGGTTAGGGCACGTTAAGCGAATGAGTGAAGACCGAATGGTGAAGAAAATATATAGAGCGAAAGTAAATATTAAAAGGTGTCGAGGTAGACCGAGACTAACTTTCGAAGACCATGTGAGCAAATTGCTCGAAGAGGGGAAGGTCAAGAGTACTCGGATACCTAGACGTGCATGTATGAAGAATTTAATGAACCTGAAAGAAGCGAAAGAGGTATGTAAGGATCGTGACACTTGGCGATCTGTTCTCTCTGGCTACCCCGTTAGGGATTGTGCGTGAAGATAAGTAAGTAAGTAAGTAATTTTGATTACAATTTAAAACATCGGCTCATGGAATAACTACATTATAAATAGTCTAAAGTTAATTTATTGAGAAGTAACTCACATTTAACATTTCATAGCATTATAAAAATAAACTTATTAAAAAAAATAGTGAACCATATAATATACTTTTTAATTCTGCGCTAAATAAAATTAAAAGGTATATTATGAAGTTTATTTGAAAAACACAAGCACAAAATACTATGGTCTAATATAATAGCAAGTAAGTATGAAGAGTCCTCCAAAAATCCGTGTGTATTTTTAGTGAGAATGTACTTAACGTGAACAATATAACATGTATCACAACTTGTGCCGCTATGAATCGATCCATTGTCTGTTATGAACTATGTTCGAATGGGTAATGATAGAAAATTATAGCATTGCGCAACCGTGTGCATCCGACCTATTATATTGTAACGAGAGCCGGGATGGGTGAAGCTGAACTGTTGGTATTAGTGTGTGCATAATTGGATGCAAGAAGCCGTAGGAAATACTAAGTTTATCCCTACTATACATGTTAAAGTAAAGGAGTGAATCTACTTTAATTTATCATACTACTTATTCCTGTTTGATTGTGATGATAACTAAATTATTTTGCAGTTTACTTTCTTTTACTTCGTCCTCAGTCCGTAAAATTGGCACTGGACCCGAATGGAATGGAGTTGTGAGTGTAGTTTTTCGGGGTGCACATTTGTGTTTGCGGAACTGGAGATATTTTTTTTTTTAGAATAAGTGTGACAAACGAGCACACAGTCCAGCTGATGGTAAGTGGGGTGCTATGAGCTATGACCCATAGTTATGTACATCTATCATTTTAGATCTATCATTATGTGAGATAAATGTTAGAGAACATTTTATAGCACACAAAATACCTTTGTAATATATTATAATACTAGTCTTTCCTCGTTTTTGATTTCATAGGTTTTTTTTTTCGTAGAACTCAAAGACCTAGTAGAACCCTAGTAGAATCATCAGCTATAAGTAACGGAGGTTAGTCGGAACAAAGAGATAGCAAAAGTGATAAAAATATATATATATATATAATAAAACATATAATTTATATTATATATATAAACATAATAGCTGATGATATAAGGAGTAGCTTAGGCCACTTTAATTTTAGAAAAACTATTAGGGTTCTACTAGGTCTTTGGGTTCTACGAAAAAAAATACTTATATGCATTTATTAAAATGCTGTTATTTTGAAATTATAAACAGACACTATATTTTTATTTATTTGTATGGGTATTAATAATTAAATTGAATTAAAATAGTCTTATATTACAATACACATAATTAATTATGCAGGAAATGCCCATATTTGCTTCGGGCGCAAAAAAAACACAATTTTTCTCGTATAACATATTGTACTTTAAGGTATAACATATCGCTCTCAACACTGACATTGAAAGTCACCAATTGGTGTTGCCTTTAAGTTTTTTATTTTTATTATTACTTACCTTTAGATTATTTAATGTATCATATGATCAATATTGTTGTTTTGTTCCAGTAATCGAGTCTATTATGAGAGGCGAAGTAGTGGGTGTGATGCCAAGGAGGTCTCGATCAAATCTTCAAGTAAGTATATTCAAACACTAACAATACAATATATTATAGAAAAACGATCCTTACAGAGAATTCTGAATTATTTGATAAACTTACCTACTTACCTTTCTTGAGATTAACAAAATTTAAAAATAAACCACATTTATTAATTGATTTTTTCAAATGAAAACAAGGAATAGAAAAAACACTCCTTGATTAATTTGCAAACGAGTTAAACTTATTCGCATTGCGTGTGTACTATAAATAAAACCTGTTCATAAAAACATGTTGTCTTGTTCGTATATTATGTTATGGCCTTTTTAAGGTTCACAAACGCACCCATTTTGACATTTATCTTATAGGCTCCAAGGCCAAGGTGACTAAGTCGTCGGAATGACATAATTTAATTTATGTTTTTTTACTGTATTCGAGTGTTTGACACTTTGACCTTCACGACCGAGACGGTCACGTAGTATGAATGACGATACTACAGGTTGATATGTGAAAATATTGAATAGTTTGTGGAATTTATTTTGTTGTTTTTGAAAATTGTTATTTTGCGAGCTCTTTCGTGATGATTTAAATATTATCAACTTGATCAATTAACATGTATTTTTTATTAGGTTGACATAATATGTCAGATAAGTCGTTGATACTTTATGCTGTTATCTTTTTAGGTACGTTCGATGATACAGGAAAAGTAATTTCTTTAGTTGATTATAATTAACAGTGAATTGGGCAAGGTCAAACTACGTAATTCATTTTCAATCAAATCTTAACATTATTTTACCAAGAGTCGATTTTTTTATACCACGTAGGTAAAATTTACCTACTTTTATGTTCAGCCAGGATATAATTTATTCGATGGATAACTTTTAACTGTCGGTTAGAAAATTAGCTTATAATCATAAAACAAGTTAAGGTAAAGTATCGAAATTACTAAGCTTTAAAAAGATCACCTTGAAGCCATACAGAGACGCTTTACTACGATTTAAATTAACGGGCTCCTCATTTCGATCGTATTATAACTTTTAATCTTCTAACTCTATTACGCAAAATGCAATACACGATACAAGTGTTGAGTACACGGTTGACTATTTGAACTATTGTGTCGTTTCTTGCTTCACGTACTTTCACTCTTACCACATCAGCCAAGGTCCTTGCTCATCCATAGAACGTATAAATGTATAATAATTTTTGATTATTATGAGCCACTGTTAGACTAATATATAACATATAATGTCCTACAATCTATATAATATATAAAGTCACAAATATTTTCATTGGTGGGGACTTAAGTTTACCTGTGGACTTGTGATAGACTGTATTGATATTGATATAATTGGTGGTAAGTGGTAATGTAGTCGAAGATGGTAAATCGCACTGATTCAGTTAAATAAATACCTATTCACTCTTCACTTGAAGTCTTGGTATGTATTTTATTATGTTTTAGGTAAAGGTTATATTTGCTTGATATGCAGTAATGTTAAATAATTAAAAATATTGTCGAAAAGTGTATATGCAAAAAGTTAATTTAGTTTGGGTTAGTAACATAAACTCTTACGCCTGTAGAGGTCAGAAGTTGGAATTTCTTTTGGCACGATCCTGTCCCTTGTTTAATATTTCATATCCATAAATATGAACATGCATGCTCATCGATCAAGGGTATCCTCAATACATCGTTAATTTTGTCTAGATAATTTTCTATCTAGCGCGACACTAACCGACTGTACCACTCAGTTCTGCAGTATGAATTTGCTTAGTCTTTCTTTCCGCATTCATTCTTTCTACGTGTCCAAACCACCGAAGTATTTCTTTCATGAAAATATATAGTAGCTTCTTGCTAAGCACACTTTTCTCATATCACACAATTTCTCACTCTACCATATATTATTTTATTATATCATTTTGTCACCGCTATGATAATACTCCTTAGTGACCATTTATCTACAGGATTAATGTTACTTTCTTGCTTCTTCTGCTACACACAGCTTTCTCTAACAAACAATAAAGTAGTGACCAACACAGCATAGTAAATTCCCGTACATGCCTTTTTGTCACATGCTAACTACCCACAATCGAAATAAGAGCCCTATTTCCTGAATTCACCCTTCGTTCTATATGCTTATCATGTCTTAGCAATTTTTTTAAATAAATTTTTATTTACAAATTGTAAGTGGTTTTATTACCTACCTCAATCTGTATATAATCTAATTGACACGCGCATCGGTAAAGCAAGGTCTTTAACAACACTCTTAACATACTCCCTGGTCAATGAGAGATTTGCAAATGATTTTTTGAAATCAAATAATTTTTTTATTACGCACGAAACCACAGGGGTTTTGTTACATTTTTTATAGAATAAGGGTGATAACCGAGCACACAGTCCGCCTGGTGGTAAGTGGATGCTTTGGCACATAGACATCTACATTTATCCTCGATTAAAAATCAAAACGCTGTTGCGTTGTCACCCCTGAGGACTAAAATGGAATGCCTCGTTTTCAGTAAAAAAGAATATCCGGATCTCTACACTCATCATACGAAACACACCAGCACTACGCTGGTGATCTGTGAAAGCGTGGTCCTTCCCCGGTCGAGCCGACTCATTCGTGCTGCAACCATAATATAGCTGTAGCGTGGCTCTACCACGTATATAAATACTTGGTAGAGAATGCCTTTAGGCATTAAGTTCGCCCGTTGTATCCTTTTTTTCTAAGAGGGTGCAATAAAGTTTATAAAATAAAAAATAATAATATATTGTATTTTGCTTACTAGTACTTTACTTACGTACGGCTATTGCTCGTGAACATTTTTACCCCTTCGGTATCGGTTCGTCAAGGTATGTAGGTATGTGTAATATTTACGTTTTTTTGTACTTATTTTTTTTTTGTAAGGGAGGTCTAGGACTTTTTATGGGCCGTAGTTGCAGTAGAATTTATGACGTTTTTTATTTTCAAACTATTTAAAAATATTAAAAAACCATTCAACATCTCGTGCAAGTTAGATAACTCAGATACTGGTACGATCATGAAGAACATTGTATAAGTAACTATGACGCGATTCTTTTATGTCTATATTGTTATCTCTCACATAAAATAATATTTACTATACAGTACTACCGTACAATGTAATATGGTAAAAGTATTAATAATGTAGGAGGGTTACCTCTTATCCGTAGAGCACTTTAGACTTGATAGTCAACAAAGTCGATATCAAAACTTGTATTTTTAACTTAAATATTTTAAAGTTTTAATGAACTAAAACATGTTAGTAAATCGTGATCAAATGATTACAAAAACATTTCATTCAAATTAAAACTCCCGCTGGGTTTTCACTGGTTTTTCTCACAATTCGTACAGAGGTTTAATTTCCGAAAGAAAAAAGTAGGTTTTACATAATGTTTTTTCATGTTATTTTACACCATTCATTTTAGGGTCTATTTCTAACAAAACTAGTCGCAGAAAACCCAGCAGATTTGAAGAAGCGATAAGTACCTATTATAATATATATAGTTTAGAGTTGGATATGGTTTTACTACTCTTGCTATTGCGTTTAATTTCATGCTACTATATCTGACTTTCTGCTGGTGAATGCTGACTCAGTACATAATAATCTGGTATTGAAAATGGTCTTAAAGTAATTAATAATAATAATAATAATAATAATCCACAACTATCACACAACGCCATCTAGTCCCAAGCTAAGCAGAGCTTGTGTTATGGGTACTAGACAACTGATAAACATACTTATATATTTCTAAATACATAAATATTATAGATAAATTACACCCAGACACAGAACAAATGATCGTGCTCATCACACAAACATTTGTCCTGGGTGGGAATCGAACCCACGACCTCCGCCATAGCAGTCAGGGTCACTAACCACTATACCAACAGGCCTGTCATTTTATTTTAACGGTATAATATTATGTTGTAGTAATTATGTATATTAAGTTAAATGTATATTATATGTATTTAATATACTTACGTTATCACTTTCCCTTCATCAAAGAGGATACAAAGGCCATGTTTAATGCCTTTCCGCTTTCTCTGCCGGTAAACCCGTGAAGTGATGAAAATCGGAAGTAAGTAGAGTCGCCAAAGCAGAATATACATATACATAAACACTCACGCCTGTCACCCAGAGGGGTAGGCAGAGACTACGGACTTCCATTTGGCACGATCCTGACATACCTCTTTCGCCTCCTTTACATCCATATATCTACGCATACATGCTCGTCGGTTAAGGGTACTTCTAACGTGGCCCCTTTTGAAAATATCGCCAATTTGGTCGATAAACTTTTTCCTAGGGCGTCCCTTCCCGACCCGGCCGTTTGACATCTGCCATATAAATTTGCTTTGTCACTCTTTCCTCATTCATTCTTTCTACATGACCAAACCACCGAAGAATTCCTTTCTTAATCCTGGTCACAACGTCATCTTGCATACCACATTTATTATTTTATTATTTATATTTAAAAATTTCATTATATTAATAAATTTATTCTATTAATTAATATTAGCTATGTTTTTCAACCTTATTGTGGGCGAAATACTCTACTGGTTTATTTCGAAAATAACTGAAAAAATCAATAAACGGAACAAGATGTTTTGACAAATGTTTTCAAGAATAATATTATTATGTACCTACTAAATTAATAGATAATTAATTTTATAATATGGAATTGGTAGCACTGTGATACAGGAAAAGTCCTTATACAAGAATTTAAAAAAAATCAAACCTTTTAAATGCTTTATTATAATTAGTACTAATGACATTATCAACATTATTCCAGAAAATACTTAAGTAATTTGAACATTAAACGAACCTGCAAATATTCTATCGTAATGTTTTAATTAATTGATGGAATGGTAAAAGCTCTCACGACAGGAATATAAAAGCTTAATGTCGACAGTAAATTATTCCTCCGTGCCTAAGTCACGAAAGGTAGCAGACGCTGACGCATGCGCCAATTTTAACCTGAACTCGGTGGGGTTTTATTCAGCTATATCTGGTACAAATGAGTTTGA